ATGGGGCGTGGTTGAAAGGGTCACGAACAAGTCCAGACATCCAAACGTCGCATCACTGAGAGCCGCTATTGTATCGGCATTCACCGATATGGACCGTGACGCATTAAAGCGTGCCTGCGCACGATTCAGACCGAGAATGGAGGCGATCATTCAAGCAAGCGGGGGATATATTGAGTGAATATATTATTTATGGCCTTACAAACAATGGAGCTAAACAAATTTTGTAAATCTTTTCATTGTAGCAATAAAACATATTTAGAAAAACATATATAATTTGTCCGGATTTTGGCGCCGCACCCTGTACAAGAGATTATCACACACAACATTTACTTATTGTTAGCGAACATGTATGTATGATTATAATTTTTGACGCATTTGTAATTTTGTAAAAATTGTTTGATTATAAGAATTTTCGATTTGTTATTTAGCAATTACATTGATAAGGACCGAAACCCGCGGTCAAAACGTATGTTTTAATTTCTACAATAAAGAATCTCAACACACGAACAACGGTGTATGTGCTCCTCGGTGTATTTGGCCTTTCATAACTTATCATATTTGGATATCTGGAGCCTTGCCATTTCAATTGATCATATTGAAAGTTATTCGCCTTTTACAACAATTTTGCACATATGTCGAACTTTGCTCGGAATGATAGATAAGCTATGTCACGCTTTGAAACAAACTAAGTAACAGTCAACAATACCACTTATAAATGTGTATACTTGTATCAGTAACTCTGAATGTCTTCCAAGAACTGATACCTGAGAGCAAATGTGTATTCCAATTCATTATTCTACATGTTATTTAAAAAAATAAAAGTCGCGTTTTTCAAACATTCTCGATTAAAACAATTTTTAAAGCTCGTTGAAAGTTACACCAATATATAAGGCCTTACGAGCCATTTCTAAGATGTTGAGCGGAAACTGTACGTGTATATATATATACAGGGTGTCCCAGAATTGGTTTAACATCTCTCCTAGCCAAATAGAAGAAATAAAACTGAATCAAAAAGTCCTATACCATTGTGCTAGATTCGCAATAGTTATTGAGATTTTAATTAACAAAGATCCGCGAATAAGCATGCATCGGGCTGTCTTACGCGCGTAAGACTGCCCGCCGCGCTTCGCGCGCTAACGGTGTTATCCATAGCGACATATGGGAGGAGCTAATATAACAGCATATAACATATACATATAACTACTATAACATATACATATTAAAATGTAATTGTGCGAAGCGCGCCGGGCTGTCCTCCGCGCGTAAGACAACCTGATGCACGCTTATTCGCGGATCTTTGTTAATTAAAATCTCAGTAACTATTGCGAATCTAGCAAAATGGTATAGAACTTTTCGACTCAGTTTTATTCCTTCTACCTGCCTACAAGAGATGTTATGCGTTATAGTTTCCGGTGCAGCCGCGCTAAGTTTTTTACATTAAATATTTTGTATTTTAAAAACTTTTACATGGGTTTTTGACTTTTCACACAAAGCGAAATCTATATGATTCGACATAGTTTAAGGCTGTCCACGCAAGGCGAGGTCATTTCTTACATCGATGAGTGCTTTATATATAAAGTACACTGATCACATAATATTTTAAACTTTTTATTGTTTTGGAATATTTCATATTTTATATTTTAGAACGTATAAACAACTTACAAATATAATATTTTATATTTTATAACAATGTATAAATGTATACAAGAGTTTACTTCGCGTTACGTATTGATATCATTTCTTTTGTAAAATAGATTTTGTAGAGAAAGATTTTTAGAGTAATACTTTTTCTAGAGTAATATTCAACGCCGCTTGCCTAGCAACCATAGAACACACGGTGAACGTGGCATAACACTTTTTAAACTTTCTATTTGGAATATTTTATATTTTATAACAATGTATAAACAACTTACAAAGTTTTATATAATATTATATATTTTGTAACAATGTATAAATATACAAGACTTTCCTTGGCGTTACTTATTGATATCATTTCTTTTGTAGAATAGATTTTGTAGAGAAAGATTTTAATATTAATACGTTTTCTAGAGATATGAGTTGCGCATGTACTTGACGCCTTTTTTTACCTTTTTTTCAAAAAGGTATTTTGTTCGGATATCACATATTTTTGTAGAATACGTTTTTGACAAACACTTTTTTAAATACAATACAATGTATTTTTACATAATAACAATAACATATATATAACAGAATAATATACATATATCAAAGTGTTGGAAGGACTTGCAGTTTTTTAATTTTTTTCTGTGGATTCTAATCATATTTGGCAAGAAATTTTTGCTATTGTTTCTATCTGGTACACAAGTATTAAAATGGTTAATTATTAAGCAATTAAATATTTTCTTGTATATGGGTTTAATTTTTCTTAAGTTTTTCCAAAAAGAGTAGGTAAATATTTTTAGCCCCTCTAGGCCATTTTGTTTTAGTAATTGTTCCATCATCAACTTCTAATTCCATAATTGTTCCATAATCAACTTCTTCTCTAATTAGATTCCTTCTCGACATGTACTTATATAATGATCGTTTTCTATACATGATCCGTGATGAAATATCGCATTCATGACTTTATACAACTGTCCATTTACTGATATTTTAGTTGTTGGAACTGCACGTAAATTAAAAGCAGGTTATAATAATTTACCGTGTTTTGTACCGTCTTGAACTAATATTAAATGAATAATAAGTATCTCTCTTGTTAATGTTAATTCTCTTTTAAGTAACATGTCACTTCCGGTACAATTTGCACATAATTCCTTACACACATTATTCTTTACACCAATGCAAAAAGATACTATTTAACAAATCGTTAAGATCATAATTTTTCTT